CCATGGTCTTGTACTAGGCCCCTACCTCTTAAATCCTGCCACCCGGTAACCAAGCTTCCAACATATGTGTCCAGGGGACACAAATCACATCCAAACAAGTTCCTTAAACTTGTGCATGGTTTCTACATCTGATAAATAAGAAACTGTTAAGAGAATCTACCTTCCAGTAATTACAGTTTGGGTTATCCATAGTTTCCGATGAAAGACTATTTCTGTCATAAACTTTCACCTCATCTTACAGGTTGATCAAACAACAACACTGCAAACTCTAGTTACTGCACATCAATCCCCCCCAGGTCTCAATGGAGTGGGGCCTGTCTACACGTTTCTCAGAACACGATGAAGGGAAGTGGTCCAGGCACTTCTGGATGAATGGTGTGAATATATCTTATTATCATTGATTAATAAAAAAGTTGATTTGGCAAATAGCCAGGCAGAATATAGCTAGATGACAGGGAAAGAAGGGCAGAGTCAAAGAGACACCACCAGCCACCGGGGAAGCAAGATATGAGGTCACAAGTCACGGGTCTATGGTAAAATATAGATAGAAAAGCCAGTTAGTAATAAGCCTGAGCCAACAGGCCAAACAGTTTGTAATTAATACTAAGCCTTGGAGTGGATATTGGGAACTGGTGGGCAGGAGAGAAACCTCCAGTTACAGTGGAATACCTAGAAATTTGAAGCTGGACTCAGGTGCACCTAGGAGTCTGCTCTGGTTGAATTTTCCTTGAGCTCCTTCAGGGCGAATCCAGGGCTTGACAATACACTGAGCTCAGTGTAAATCTGACACGACCGATCTAACTTCTCCAGGCCACATAGTCCTGGGTGCAATCTTGGCACTTCCAGAACACAGCACTTCTCTGGGGCTGGTCCTGATGCTTCAGGTTCTATTCAGGATGCTCAGCTTCACATCCACCTACCCTCCCCACCTAACAAACTTCTGCTTGTCTTTGCAGTTCCATTTAACCTCATTTCCATTACTTGAGAACCTCCAGGCTGTGCTGTCTCTCTCTATCAACTCTCCTGGTCCTAGTTCTCTCTCTCCCTCCATATGTGTGTGCCATCCTGACGTTGTCCATATTCATGGACTAATTGTTTTTTTTTTGTTTGTTTGTTTGTTTGTTTTTTTTTTTGGTTTTTCGAGACAGGGTTTCTCTGTGGTTTTGGAGCCTGTCCTGGAACTAGCTCTTGTAGACCAGGCTGGTCTCGAACTCACAGAGATCCGCCTGCCTCTGCCTCCCGAGTGCTGGGATTAAAGGCGTGCGCCACCACCGCCCGGCGTGGACTAATTGTTTTGCTGCCTCTTCTTTTAGATGGCTAACTAACTCCTGGAATGCCTTGCAATACTGGGTATGTGGGGGCATTTCTAGATGATGGAAAGATGGGTGGGCCCTCTGGGCTGGTTTAGAATTAAGTCATCTGCTATGGAGCCTTGGTTAAGAGCCACGGAGACTGGAGAGATGGCTTAGCAGTTAAGAGCACTTACTACTCTTACAAAGGACTCTTACAATGGGAACCTGTGCAGTTAAATGTTAGAGCATTACTCAAACACGAATGGCCTTTATCCTGAGTAAGAAAAGCAAGGGCTGGGCGTGGTGGTGTGCACGCATCTGATCCCAGATGCCAGCACTCAGTCCCAGGCCAGTCCGGGTTACACAAAGAAGCAAACAGAACAAAGTGAAGACTAGGATGGGTCTCCTGCTGCCAGAGCTTGAAACTCTTAGCTCTCTTTCACCACGTTCTGAATGCTAACAAGGTGCAGACCCCCACCCTAAAGGCACTTGTGGTGCAGAACTGAGGCGAAGGAGCCTTTTCTGTACTTCACTACCCTCCAGGTTAGGCTCCACTGTCCTCTGCCCTTACATCATGACACACTTCAGACGCCAGGTGTGCACCCTCCTGATTTTCATTAGATTAAAACCCAGCGGCATGGTATAAGATGATTCATAAATCGGGGCTGGAGAGATGGCTCAGTGGTTAAGAGCATTGCCTGCTCTTCCAAAGGTCCTGAGTTCAATTCCCAGCAACCACATGGTGGCTCACAACCATCTGTAATGAGGTCTGGTGCCCTCTTCTGACTTGCAGGAAGAATATTGTATATATAATAAATAATTTTAAAAAAAAGATGATTCATAAATGAATATACAGGTAAACACGTTATTTCATTTACATGCTTACCTCCTCCCTTATCAGTCACAGGCAGAAGCCACTACTATAATGTTGTAATGCAATAATTCTGCATCTAGGACAAGATGGGCCGGCTTATTCCTGCTCATCTGTTGAGTCACATAAATATCAGGAGATGACACATGTTAGTGAGACAGACAGAAAAGCCTTTAAATTCAGCTCTGCAACCAGGAAAATATTCAAAGCTGAGGTAATGAAATTTTTAGTCCATTTATTTCAACTTCTCATTATTATTCTATTAAAAAAAAAAACCTTGGGGACTATTTAACTCAAGTGTGAGAGAAAAACAGGGCAGGCAAGCTGTAACTCTCGTCAGCTGCCAGGAAGAGGGAGATGGAGGAGAGGGTTAGAGAAAGCCATATCCTTCTCCATGGAGGCTAGCACAGCTGCGTGGTGCACAGCTGCATGGCGCACAGCTGCACGGTGCACAGCTGCACAGCACAGCTGCATAGCACAGCTGCATGGCGCACAGCTGCATGGCGCACAGCTGCACAGCACAGCTGCACAGCACAGCTGCACGGCGCATAGCTGCACAGCACAGCTGCACAGCACAGCTGCATGGCAGCACAGCTGCATGGCGCACAGCTGCACAGCACAGCTGCATGGCAGCACAGCTGCATGGCGCACAGCTGCACAGCACAGCTGCATGGCAGCACATGGGGCTTTAGAAAAAGCGTGAGAATATGCCCAGAGTGCCAGAGAAATCATGTATAGGCTTTGACCAGTATCTGGGAAGACAGAAAGGGAGAGAGACAGACAGACAGACAGACTCCTAGCTGGCCTGCAACACACAGAGATCTGTCTGCCTCTGCCTTCTGAGTGCTGAGATCAAATGTGTGTGCCCCATATACCATCTCCAATAAATTTTATAGCCACTACATTTATGAAAGTTTCTAATTCCTGCTGTTAATGCTGTTCAGAGTGCAGGCCTTAGATACTTACCTTTTTTCTTTGTAAAGTAATTTAGCTTCATTATTGTTTATGTGTGTATGACATGTGTACAGATGAGCTTGTACCATGGCCTGTGTGTGAAGGGCAGAGAATAACTTTGTGGAATCAGATCTCTCCTTCTATGTTTATATGAGTTCCCTCAGGTCAAGCCTGTACAGTAAGTACCTTTACCCACCAAGCCATCTCACTGGCCTCTCTCCTCCCTGTAACGGGTTGAACAAGAAGGGTTGAACAAGAACGGTCCCCATAAGTTCATATTTTGAAGCCTTGATTCCCAGTCAGTGGAACTGGTTAGGAAGGATTAGGAGCTGTGGCCTTGTTGGAGAAGGTGTGTCACAGGGGGTGGGCTTTGAGGTTCCAAAAGCCCATGCCAGATCCAATCTCTCTCTCTGTCTCTCTGTCTCTCTGTCTCTCTCTCTCTCTCTCTCTCTCTCTCTCTCTCTGCTATTTTGTTCGTGTTCTGACAAATAAAGCTTGCTTGGAGTCAGAGGGCAGAGCTAGCCACTAGTTAACCATAGAGGTTTGGAGGACTGTAGAAAGAGGACAGGAAGTGGTACGGCAGGGCTGAGACAGGACTCTGCCCTTCTGGATGGAGGAATGCAAGAGGTAGGAAGTCACTGGTGGCCGCTCCACTGCTTATCTGATCCTTCAGGATTTTATCCCGACATCTGACTCCTGATTTTTATTGATAAGATTAATGAGATCTATGCTTCATATATATGTAAGTGCGTGTGTGTATGTGTGTGGACACCTGCTCTGGGTGATCAAGTGTAATCTCTCAGCTCCTGCTCTGGCACCATGCCTACCTGCTGCCACACTCCCCGCCACCCCATCGTGGTAATCACAGATTAACCCTCTGAAACTGTAAGCAAGTTCCCAATTAAATGCTTTTTTTAAAAAAAATTATTAGCCTTTTTCTTAGTGGGTTCATAATATATTTTGGTTATAATTCTTTCATATTTTGGATCAATCTGTGGTTATCTTTGTGTTTTTGTTTTAAGAATTATTTATTTGGGGCTGGAGAGATGGCTCAGAGGTTAAGAGCATTGCCTGCTCTTCCAAAGGTCCTGAGTTCAATTCCCAGCAACCACATGGTGGCTCACAACCATCTGTAATGGGATCTTGTGCCCTCTTCTGGCCTGCAGGCATACACATAGACAGAATATTGTATACATAATAAATAAATAAATATTAAAAAAAAGAATTATTTATTTATTATGTACACAGCATTCTGTCTGCATGTATACCTGCAGGACAGAAAAGGGCAGCAGATCTCATTACAGGTGGTTGTGAGTCACCATGTGGGAATTGAACTTTTAACCTCTAGAAGAGCAGCCAGTGCTCCTAACCTCTGAGCCATCTCTCCAGCCCTAAATGCTTTCTTTTATAAGTTGCCTTGGTCATGGTGCCTCCTCATAGCAACAGAACGGTAACTAGGACAGCCTGGACCATACCCAGTACTCTGTAAAAACTTTAAATTTGCAGCAGTAAACACAAACCCACTGTGTTAAAGAGACCAAACACCGAAACAAACCCTTTCCTACTATAAGACAGGTGCTGGGTAAAAATGAAGTCATTGCTCATACTATTTTTTCACTTTGAATTTTTGAGGTAATTTCAGATTTACAGAACTGTGGATAAAAGCAGGACATCTGTGCTATCCCTTCCACCCACTTCCCTCAGTGTTGTTGTCTGGTATGAACGCAATGCACACATCCAGATGCAAAGTCTGACATCAGTACGCTAGTTAACTCTGCCAGCACTTCTGCTGTAAGGTGAGCATGGTAACGGTTCACACGGTAATGATCTTCCTCTGGCTGTGAACCGTGTTCTAAATGACATTGTAGTTTACAGTCACTGACCTGTAGGAATCAGCGTTTCATCCACGGGCAAATACGCCTCTGCTGCAATGGTGACTTCGTGGTCATATATGTCTGGGGAGCCCTGGGAAGGAAGAGAGAGAGAGAGAAATGTACTGCCTGGGTCTTTTTGGGGAGAGTGGAGGTTGAGACAAGGTGTCTCTGTGTAGTCCGGGAATTTGCTATGTAGACTAGAGTGGCCTCGAACTCACAGAGATCCACCTGCCTCTGCCTCCCGAGAGCTGGGATTAAAAGTGTTAGATACCACATCTGGCTACAGGGTTTTATTTTAGGTATTCACTTTTTAATGTTTGCAAAAATGTCTACAAGTGGGGCTGGAGAGATGGCTCAGTGGTTAAGAACACTGACTCTTCCAAAGGACGGACCCAGGTTCAAATCCCAGCACCCACTGGCAGCTCATGGCTGTCTGTAACTCCTGTTCCAGGGGATCTGACACACTCACACAGATAGCTATGTGGGCAAAACACCAATGAACAAAAAGTACAAATAAATAAATTATTAAAATGTCTACCAGCATTGACAGTTAACTGATGACCATGACTAATAAGATCACTTAAGGGTAGGTAGAAGGAGTCACCATATGGTCACCGAAAGTTTGGAAAAAACTATCAGATGTGATTGCAGGGTGGGCAAGGTGGCTCAACGTATAAAGGCACTCATTGCCAGCCCTATCCCCACAGGGTAGAGAAGATAATCAACTCCTATAAGTTGCCCTTGGACCTCCGTAAATAATTCACAGTAAGCATGTATGTATATGTGCATGGATAAATACAATCTCCAAAAAAAAATGACCCTAGCATGCAACTCTCTGACATAAAAGATAAAAAGAAGGGGGTGGGGCTGACCTATAACACACAAGTTTTGGATAGCCAGGGACCACTTTCAGGTTCACCAGAGAAGGTCACCTGTCTCTCTTTTCTGGCTTAGCTCCTACCCACAGGACACATTCCCTGTCACGCAACAGAAGTCAGAACCACAGTCCCTGCTTCTGAGAATAAGTTATCTGGGGGAGAGACAAAGGCTGGTCTAGGAAGCCCAGTCAGTGGTCAGAAGTCCCAGGGTTCTGCCTCTCGCTCGGTGTCCCCAAGGAAGATGCAAAGTCTTCTGGAAAATTATTTGTTTTAGGAGAAAACTGGGATATGCTTTTCCCAGGGCCCTTATGAAATACAGGTTAGTTAGGGGATTTGCTGCTTGTAGATTGGAAGTCATTTTTATTCATATGAAAACATTTAAGCCCTGTTTCTTATTTTCAGTATCTTAAAGCCACACCACAGAAAATGGGAAGCGCGGTGGTGGGGCTTACGCCTCATGGCTGCTCAGAAATCAACTGAAGTGAAGTTTCTTAGCCAGGGGGGGATTTTTGCCCTCAGAAAGACATCTGCAAAGTCTGGACACATAGAGCTGCTGCCTTCTAAACCGGAAGGGGTCAAGGACACCGCCAAACATCCTAACTGCAGAGAAGCCCCCACTGCCACCAAGAATTGCCTCACCCAAAATGTCAGTGTCAGTCTTGAGAAACCCTGATGAAGCTCCGCAGAAGCCAGACTCCAGGGAGGAGTAGGAGCTGGGTGAACACTGATCTTTTTTGTTTTCCAAGACACGGTTTCTCTGTGTAGCCCTGGCTGTCCTGGAACTTGCTTTGTAGACCAGGCTGGCCTCGAACTCAGAGGGATTCACTGCCCTTGCCTCTCGAGTGCTGGGATTAAAGGCGTGCGCCACCACAGCCCGGCTTGGACATTGGTCTTTATAGTTAGAAAGACTCAGGCTGCATGATCAAAGGAGTCATTCTGAAAAGAGGTCAAAGTTCAGAGACACGTGAGTCCATGTCTAAACACAGCAGGAAAGGGCTCATTACACGGCCTGGAGGCTCTGCTCTGAATTAGCGTGGGAGATTGGACCGCAGCCTGGGTGGCCCTTGGTCAGGAGCGACGGTCTACCCAGAGAGCAGCAGAGCCGTAAGGCCCATGCCTCCCTCCTCCACTTTCCTCTGCACAGGAGTCTTGAAAGACACAACCCTGCTACCATCATCCAGAGAGGGAAGCCTGGTGGCGATGACCGTTCCCTACCCTCCCAGCCCAGCCTGCGTCCAGGTCTCACTCTCCTTCCCCAGGAGTCTGCCTTCTCGCTGCCATTCCTCTGTAAAGTATAAATACCTACTTAGAACCAGAGTGCTGTTCTGGTTTCTATGGCTACCGACTGACTCTTCTGTTCTGGAATTTCACATAAATGACCCCACAGTATCAATTCAGTCTCTCCCATCTACTTCACAATACACAACGCTCTTGGATGTGTCCAAGTCACGGGACCAGTGATTTGGTCCATTGTACTGCTGGTCTAGTATTGGCGGGCTTTATACAACCCTCCCGGAGACAAACACGTGGCTTCCAGGGCCTTCACAATAGGAACAAGGCTGCTAAGGAATTTCCTTGGCTGTTTTTTCTTAAAAAAAAAAAAAAAAAAAAAAGAGCTGGGTGATAGTGGCACACACCTTTACTCCCAGCACTCAGGAGGCAGAGGCAGGTGAACCTTTGAGGCCAGCCTGGTCTACAAGAGCTTGTTCCAGGACAGCTAGGACTGTTACACAGAGAAACCCTGTCTCTTGAAAAACAAACAAAACAAAACAAAATGTTTTAAGCACTAAGGCAGGAAGAAAATAAAACAGCATGAAAACCAAACGACAAATACACGGATGCGTATAAGGTATTAGGAAGGGAGAGGGAAGCAACGTGTATCGGGAGCCCGTGTTCTGAACAGCCCAGGCATTTCTGCACTGAAGAAGCAAACGTATTTTCCATTTTCCGTATCTTCTGGTCTGGAAAATGCAGTGGGCTACGTTGGTGGAAGATTACTGTCAGATGCACTTCCTTTCCAGACCGATGAAAACTTGACACGAAACACTGGTTCCCACACAGACCTTGAGGCCCCTCTCCAAGTTCAGTGTTTTCTTCTGATAATTTCCCTTGATTGATGCTTGTTGTAACCACACTGGTTTCACGCACAGTCGGTTATGAGCGGCCCAGGTCGTAAAGACCTGCTTGTGCGTTGCCATGACTACTGCCTTGCAGGAGGTGAAGGACATTTCTACTCAAAAGCTGCAGCAACTCCTCTTCCTTTAGCTCCCTTTCCCCTGGAAGGAATCAGACTTGCCGGCTGATGTAGAGGGAAGAGAACCCTGCTGCAGCCTCCAAAAACAATAATTCTGTTTTAATCTTCTCACTAGTGATTGAGTTAGGTAGAGTGTGGGTCACACTTTTGGCTGATGAAACATGAGACAAAGCTGTTTCTGAACACTGCCCTCATTGTTCTTAGAAAAGGAAGAAATCCTGTTTTATCTCTGGAGACGAGTGTACGAGCTACAGAAGCCATTCTGTGACTACGAGGGGGACAAGTTTGAAGACAAAAGCCCCAAGACCAAGGAAGGTGTGGTTTGAATGACATGGTCCCCATAGGTTCAACTTGGTCCCCAGTTGGTGGAACTGTTTGGGAGGAGGCATGTCACTAGGGGTGGGCTCTGAGGTTTCCAAAGCCCAAGCCATTCCCAAGTAGGTCTCTCTCTCTGCTTCATGAAGATGGGTCAGCGCCATGCCCACCTGTCTGTTGCCATGTTCCCAGTCATGATGGTCATGGACTAATCTTCTGAAACTGGCCCCCTAAATAAACTCTTCTAGAAGTTGCCTTGGTCACGTGTCTTATCACAGCAATAAAAAGTAACTAAGACAGAGGGAAAATGGATAAATGGAAGAAGATGGATCCCTGAAGGCACAAGTGTCTAGGCACAGCCAGAACCACACTGCTTCCTTTCCACCTCAAACCTCCCCGGTGTAGCTTTCACCGTTCCACAGATAAAGTGTCAATAGAAAACATGTTCCCAGCCAGGCCGTGGGGCACGCCTTTAACCCCAGCACTCGGGAAACAGAGGCAGGCGGATCTCTGTGAGTTCGAGGCCAGCCTGGTCTACAGAGTGAGTTCCAGGACAGCCAGGGCTACACAGAGAAACCCTGTCTCAGAAAAACAAAAACAAACCAACAACAACAATAACAAAAAAACCATGTTCCCTGAGTTTTGCAGAAGGCACATACTAGGGCAGAAAGATAAAAAGCAAAAAACACCTGTAACCTACCTACCTTTTCCGTTCTTTGAAAAACACAATTCCACACTCTCACCTGAGGACCCCAACATTGAAACTTAAAGCTGGTACCCTGAAGCTAGGGCCCCAAACTAGAAAATTCTGTTTACCAAATGTAGAAGATGGGGATAGTGGCTCACATCTTCACCCCCAGAACTGGAGAGACTGAGGCAGGAAGATGGCTGTGAGTTCCAGACCAGCCTGGAATAAAGAATGAAACTCTTCCTGAAATCAAAACAAGAACAAGCGAGCAAGAATCACCTTCACTGTTCTGAACGTTGGGGTCTCTGTAAGAACCAGCTAGCTGCTATTGCAGGAAGTGACCACCAGCAAAACCAGCAGCAAAACCCAATAAAGGTTAAAAGTAGACAATGTTTCCAGTTGGTCAGGGCTACCAGCTTGTAAATCACACCACAGAGATTCCAATGGTTAGATAAGATGTGTTCTTCAGAAGAGGAAGTCATAGAGACAGAATCTACAGTTGGGCTCCTCACTCAATCCCGGGACAGCCTCTTCAACAGGTTTAAATTATTATCTGGGGGAGGGACTTGGTTTACAGGGGACTGCTAATGAGGGAAGGGGCTGTCAGCCATTCTACACAATTCTCGGATGTCATCTTATTTATTTGTTTGTTTGTTTTGCTTTCTGGGCTAGGGTTTCTCTGTACAGTCCTGGCTATCCTGGAACTCGCTTTGTCAACCAGGCTGGCCCCACCCTCACGGAGATCCGCCTGCCTTCCGCCAGGTGACTAAGTGTCCTACTATTAGGTTGGTTTCAATCTTTTCACCAATCACTTCACAAAGTGCTTCGAAGGCGGCTGATAAAACAAGGTTAGCTACTATTATGAAACTGAGAACAGTTTAGTAATTTGAAAAGCCAGGTCTTCTAAATTCAAGTCCAGTGCCTCATCACTGGACTGACTGACTATACAGGGCAAGAATGACCAGCAACAGCCGGGGAGAGCTGTAGGACCACACAGCTGGAGCACACAACAGCAGCTGGGGAGAGCTGTAGGACCACAGCTGGAGCACACACTGCCTGCGGCACATTTAAAGGAACTGGGGCAAACACACCCACTTCCAGCATTTAAGAAAGGCATCTTAGATGGGAGTGGTCTTGGGCAGGGTGAAGTATAAGGGAGCACTTGTGCATTTATGAAACCAGATGAAAGGGAATTCCTGAAATAACCAGTCATTTGTCTACATCACAGGGAAATGGCTACTTTCCTTGGCAGGGTGACACAGTCACTCGCTATGATTTCTAGTTTACTGAGCATCTATTTAAAGCCAGATACTCTGGTAGGGCCACTTTCATCAACAAGGGCATGAATTCATCTTCATGATGGGCTAGTCTCTCCAGCCACATCCCGCGGTCATCCCTCCAGCACTCAGGTACAGCAGGAGAGAAAGAAGTAAGTTCACTTACCTGGCCTGCTAGGTTGAAGTAAGAATGGTTGGTCAGATTAACCGGTGTGGTCTGGCTGGCTTGTGCTCTGTAGTTGATTACAAGCTCCCCACCATCCAGGGTGTATGTCACCCAGACTTTCAACTCTCCAGGGTAGCCTTCCTCACCATCTGGACTGACTCGAGAGAACTGGACACCATTGGACAACACCTGAGGGGTCCACAGGACCTAGGAAGAAGTGTTTAAAGCTGCTTAGTCACTCCAGTCCCCGCCGAAATGCCACATTTCAATATTTAAAGAGCAGAGTCTAGAAAGGGAGCCTGTTAGGCAGAGATAAAGGCTTTTGAATAACAGTCTGGAGTTTTGCCCACCTAACACTGCTTTATACAGGAAGACGGCTTTGGGGGGAAAACATTTTCTCCTTTATCCACTTGCATTTCCTATATGTTCTTCTCCTAACTGTATATTATGTATTTATGTGTCTGTTTTTCTTGGTTCTTCTTTTGAGAGCTTGTTTGGAGCTTCTAGCAGGGGAGCGCAGCTACTCGTATACCCTTGACTGAAGACCGGTCCTCCTCTATTAGGGGAAGGTTGTCCTCATCGACTGAATATGCAGCTTCGGGAGGGACAAGGGACGCACATGGAGCGGTGAGGGAGGAAGGGGACACCCACCTAGCCAGTCAGATCAGCCGAATCAACCCTGGTGATCAATGGGGTGACAGATGTCGCAGCCAGATCGCCCTCACATCCTTTGTTCTTTTTTTGATTCACAGCCCCCACCCCCAAGTCCTGGCTGTCATGGAACTTGCTCAGTAGACCGGGCTGACCTCAAGCTCAGAGACTCGCCTGCCTCTGCCTCCTGACTGCTGGGATTAAAGGCGTGTGCCACCATCGCCCAGCTTGACAAGTATTCTAATCTTAGCATTCCAATCTGACAAACAGAAGACATTAAAAACCTACTTATAATATTTAAAGATAGAGGATCTCTGAGTTTGAGTCACTAAGTCTACAGGTCCAGTTTCAGGACAACCAAGTTTAGGAAGCAAAGGAAATAGTGGAGAACAGGAAGCTGGTGAAGATGGAGCTGATGAGGGTCCAGGTTCCAGCCCCAGTAAGTAGCAGAACTTTGTAGCTTTGGCCACATGGCTCTGGCTTTATTTATTTATTATTTATTTTGGTTTTTCGAGACAGGTGGCTCTGGCTTTAGAGTCAAGACAGAAAAAGGAGTTATGGAATCTTTCTACTCGAATAAGGAAAGCCACTGTGGCCAGGAAAGTGTCAGGGGTGTCCCAGAATGTGTCCTCCAAGATGTTGAAGATGCTAGGGTCATGGCGTACCTGCTAAGGAAAGTTGCTAACAGGACATGGAACCAGCTCAAGAGACGGAAGTGTGTTGAGCTCAGCAAAGATGAAAGGAATCGAAGATCTGAAGAGCATTTTGATATCCGACATAGAGATGCAGAATTTGGAGTTTGCCCAGCTAGTTTTTGGTCTTGCTTTTGCCCAGTATTTCCTCACTATTCTCCCTTTCCTCCGTTTTGGAATGGTAATGTATTTACTGTGCCATTTTATGTTATCTTCTTTTCAATTTTGACTTTATATGGGATTAGAGTTAAGAGATTGCACAAATCTCAGAGGAGACTTTGAACTTAAGACTTTTAAATAAGCGTGAAACTGTTATAGACTATGGGGAGGGGACTTTTGAGTCGGGCTGAATTCATTTTTGCATTATGATATGGCTACAAGTCTATGGGGCCCAGGGAGTGGATGGGGTAGTTTGAAAGCAGTGGCGACCGTAGGGAGTGGCATTATGGTGTTTGGCTTTGTTTGAGTAGTTGTGGCATCGTTGGATGAAGTGTGTCACTGTGGGGATGTGCTTGGAGGTCTCCATTGCTCAGGCTATACTCAGTGTGACACAGAGTTGCTTCTGCTGCCTGTGAACCAAGATGTAAAACTTGACTCAGCTCCTTCTCCAGCACCATGTCTGCCTGCACGACACCTGCCATGGTGATAATGGACCACGCCTCTGAAACTGTAAGCCAGCCCCAATTAAATGTTTTCCTTTATAAAATAACTAACTAAATAAAGATAATCTTGGGACCAGGAATGTAGCTCAGTTGGCAGGGTGCTTGCCTAGCATGCATAAAACCCTGGGCTCAGTTTCTAGACCCACCCAGATCCTGACATGGTAATGCATGACTATAATCTCAACATTTGGTAGGCAGAAGCGAGAGGATCAAGAGTTCATTGTCATCCTCAGCTCTTAGGGAGTTTGAGACCTGCCTGGGCTGTATGAGATACTATGTTCAAAAACAAGAACTTAACCCTTTTCTACTAAGGTATATTATTATTATCATTATTATTATTATTATTTTGGTGTTGGAACCCAGGTAGCCTTACACATGCTAGGCAGATGCTCTCCTACTGAGTGACACCCTCAACACCTCCATAAATATTTATTCTAAATACTCTGAGGTTGGCCAAGCTCCCTGAGAAGGGTTTAAAGTAAATAGCTAGCGTGCTTATTCTGTTTCAAAGAGTTGCAAACCACAAGTCAGGGGTCCAATTTAAAAGGGACCAGTGTGTCCCTTACTCAGTGTGTGGCTTTGGGCACCAACCTTTCCCTAAAACAGAAAAAGTTATCTTGACGAGAGGTCTTCTTATCCTAGCAACCAAGATTCTAGGAACAGTAATAACTATGGAGAAGTTCCCTGAAAGTTTGCTTTTGCAAGCAGAAACAGGAATCCTGGGTTCACACTGGAGCCTCTCAGCTTTGCCGGGAGTCCTAAGCTCACGCATCTAGTAAAGGGAAATCCAACATTTGCTGAGTGCCCTTTCTGAGCCCCACCTGGCTAGCTACTTCACAGGGGCTGTCTCCCCATCTCAGAGGAGACTTACAGGAGGCACTGTTTATCCAACAACCAGAGAACTGAAGTTCAGAAATAAAAGGAAGCCTGTTACATGTGTCATTTTTTAAAAAGAAAAAGAAATCCCCCAAATTGATAAACTGTTCCCTGCAGGTTTCCTGGACCGTGACAGTGAACTGGAGCCAGAACGTGTGCCTGCTCCCTTGTCCTTCAAATATCAGAATGAACTGGCCAGAGTCTCATTCCTATGGAGTTTGGGTGGCTCGTAAAGGGCTGAAGTAAAGAACTTCCGTGTGCTGAGTGCTCCTGGCTGCTTATCTGTTTTGCATAAGCCACCCTAAGTAAAGGATTTAGTTCCACCAGGTGTAGGTCAACAATGAGCCCTGGCCATTTCTTATAGCGCCAACTAATTTTGTTATCTCAGTATTGAGTTCAGTGGAGTCAGGTTGCCTGATTCTACCTCCCACATTGCAGGACAGAGGAGAGCCCTAGAATACTTCATGATTTAAAGGAGGTGAGGGTGCAATCTTGCTTAAAATCCAACATGTAATGAGTGCTAGAGCTAGGCTTCAAAGGCAAGTCTAGCTGCCTATGCGATGCCACATTTTGGTTTCAGTAAATGTGCTGTTTAAATTTACATTTAAGAAATATTTATTGGGGAGCTGGAGAGATGGCTCAGTGGTTTAGAGCACCGTCTGCTCTTCCAGAGGTCATGAGTTCAATTCCCAGCAACCACATGGTGGCTCACAACCATCTGTAATGAGATCTGGCGCCCTCCTCTGGCGTGTGGGCATACATGGAGGCAGAATGTTGTATACATAATAAATAAATAAATCTTTAAAAAAAAAAAAAATATTTATTGGTGTGTTGCCGGGCGATGGTGGTGCACGCCTTTAATCCCAGCACTCGGGAGGCAGAGGCAGGCGGATGTCTGTGAGTTCGAGACCAGCCTGGTCTACAGAGCTAGTTCCAGGACAGGCTCCAAAGCCACAGAGAAACCCTGTCTCGAAAAACCAAAAAACAAAAAAAACAAAAAACAAAACCGCAAACAAATTTAATTTTTAAAAAATGTACGTGTTTCTGTGTGGTATATGAATAATATGCCTGTGGAAACCAGAAGAGGATGTCAGATCTCCTGGAGCTGGAGTTAAAGGCAGTTGAACCACCTGACGTAGTATGGGAACTAAACTTGGATTCTCTGGAAGAGCAACAAATACTCTCTCTTTTTTTTTTTTTTGGTTTTTCGAGACAGGGTTTCTCTGTGGTTTTGGAGCCTGTCCTGGAACTAGCTCTTGTAGATCAGGCTGGTCTCGAACTCACAGAGATCCGCCCGCCTCTGCCTCCCAAGTGCTGGGATTAAAGGCGTGCGCCACCACCGCCCGGCTCTTTCTCTCTTTTTTAAAACAGGGTCTCTCTATGCAGTTCTGGCTGTCTTGAAACTCAGGCTGGCCTCAAACACACAGAGATCTGCCTGTCTCTGCCTCCCGAGAGCTGGAATCAAAGTCGTGGCCACCACTGCCCAGTGAGAATGGATTTCTAAAAGTTGTCCTATGACCTCCACATGCACAGCACGCATGTACACACACACGTACATACACTCAAGCATGCATGAGCACAGACAGACACACAAAGACACACACACACACACATAAGCACACAAAGCAAATGAAATTTTTTAAAAAATTAAGGAAGCCTATACATGTGTAAGTTTAAGAAAAAAGGGCTGGAGAGGGGGCTCAGAGGTTAAGACTGACTGCTCCTCCAGAAGTTCTGAGTTCAATTCCCAGCAAGCACACGGAGGTTCACAACCATCTTTAATGAGATCTGGTGCCCTCTTCTGGCCTGCAGGCATACATGCAGACAGAAAACTGTATTCAAAAAAAAAAAAAAAAAAAGTCCGGTGGTGGTGGTGGCACACGCCTTTAGTCCCAGCACTTGGGAGGCAGAGGCAGGCTGATCTATGTGAGTTTGAGGCCAGCCTGGGCTACAGAGTGAGTTCCAGGACAGGCTCCATAGCTACTGAGAAACCCTGCCTTGAAAAACCAAAAAAAAAAAAAAAAAAAAAAAACTTGAAGAAAAAAAAAATCCCCAAATGGAAAGTTTTAGGAATGAAATGTTTGAAATAGAATGTTTTTGCCTGGCCGCCTAGATTTTTGACCTTTAGAGAAAGTGCACAATGGAAATATTTTTATTATCCGCAGCTAAGTGCGATTTTTATCCAGGGAAAGGGCTTCCTGACCCCGAGTTTCCACATTCCCAGAAACCTCCCATCCTTAGTATTTCTTGTACTATCTCTAGTCCTGTCAGCACATAACGTTCATTAAAAGAAAAGTGAGATATAAATAGAAAAAGCACATTATCTCCAAGCTAAATTATTCATTTACTGTTGAGATCAAATAGAGAATAAAGCATCAAGTTCAACAATGCTGCTCATGTTACTGTATTAAAACTTCCGGCCCCAAACTTCAGTGGCTCCAAAAAAGCCTCGTCTCCCTTCACAATCATTCTCTAGACATCCACAGATGGAAGGATGCTATCTGCTCCCCGAGGGCAGTTCAAATCCCACCACCCCCATCGCTATGCACCTGCTCACTTCCACAGCCCACTGCCCATCTACCCGCTGCACTGCAGGATCCTATACCAGTTCCGGAAGGGGCAGGCCGTTCTTGGAACCTCAGGAATCTAAGCCCGTTAGGTTCTCTGGTGCACAGAAGGGACTCCCTCCACTAAAGGACATTGCTGTCATTGTAGTGTGTCGCTCGGAAGTTTTGTCTGTTGGAAACTTGGTGTTTGAGGTAGAGCACCTGATGGGTGGTTAGGACGAGATGACGTCATGATAGCAAGCACAGCCCCCGCCCCATGCTGGTTTCAGTGGCTTTATAATAAGAGGAAGAAAGACCTGAGCTGTCACGATTATTCTAAGAGACCTCCTCCATGTCAGCACGAAGCAAAGGGAGAAAGAGCTGGCATCTGAGACAAAGCCAAAGGCTGGTGCCATGCTCTTGAGAACTGGCATCTGAGACAAAACCAAAGGCTGGTGCCATGCTCTTGAGAGCCGGCATCTGAGACAAAGCCAAAGGCTGGTGCCATGCTCTTGAGAGCCAGCATCTGAGACAAAGCCAAAGGCTGGTGCCATGCTCATGAACTCCCAGTTGCCAGGAACGTGAGCTAATTTAGACCTCTCTTAACAAACTACCTGGTTGGTATAACCAGTTGTACCAATATAAATGTTCAGAGGCAGGGTTAAGGGGATGTATTTCAGCTGGCAGAGTGACTACCTGGCATGCACGAGGCTCTGGGTTAAGTCCCCATCACCAGATAAAACTGGCAATTCCTGGGCTGCAGAGACAGCTGAGCAGCTAAGAGTGCTGGGCACTCTTGCACCGTATCCAAGTTTGTTTCCTAGGTCCCGCATCTTGCAGCTCACAACTGCCAGTAACTGTAGCTCCAAGAACCCAACACCCTCTCGGGCCTCCCTTAGGCACACACGCACATTCACACACGCATGCACACGTACACACACGGATGCACACTCACACAACGCACACACACACAAACACGCACACACACACACACACATGCACACTCTCACACAAATAGATAATAAATCTTTAAAAAACAAACAAATTAGCAATCCCAGAAATAAGAACTAGAGAAAGGAGGATCAAAAATTCAAGATTATTCTTAGCCACACAGCCAGTTCAAGGCCATCATGGGATACGTGAGATCCTGTCAGGAAAAAAAGAAAGAAAAGAAAAGAAAATGTAGGGAGGCAGACAGATATGCACTTACTATTTGTGTTTGTAAAGGGAATATGTGTTTGTGTCAATGAATAACACAGAAAATACAGAGGAATAGAAAGAGGAACAAGCTAGAACAAGTTGCTGTTTTGAGGCCTCTCTGAAGATCCCTGTCCCAACCAAGGCTGGGTCCAGCTTCCTCTGGGTTGAGGTTTGCTCACTCACAGACCTGGCATCTTCTGGAAATCCTCAGCCCTAACAGTGGTGGACCTGACACTTCCCTCTACGGTCTGCTCTTCCCAGTGTGAGCAGCACCTCGCCAAGGAAAGGGAACCAACAAGGTAGTCTGGTTCTAGGACAGGAAGCTGCTGACAGAAGTGGGGGGAAACAGAGGGCAACCAACTTCCTTCAGCAGAGAAGAAACGGCAGCTTTGAACCGCCCGCCACCCACGTTCTCCTCCTGCTAGCGTCTAGAAAGTAACTGAAGCTGCATGACCCAAAGGAAAGTTACCTTGGAGGCTTTCTTCCTCGCAGCCCAGAACAGTCATAGAGTCACTGAGCTGAGCCACCGAGGGGCTGGGAAGCACAAGGCAGGGACTGGTCCATCACCGGGAAGCTGCTTGGTCCACATGCCTTCCTGATCGTGTTTCCCAGGGATTTGGGAGTGCTGATTGAGAAAGGCAGGCCTGGGTATCCTACTAGGAGAAATGTAGCTTTGGGGGCCTCAGCGGTCACACTTGGTAATCATACATGGTTTTTACAGTACTAGAGAAAATAGGTGCAAATGCCGGTGCAGTAAGTCATAGAAATAATCATTAACCCGCGTTTCTGAAACCCAGCTCCCTGAGGCTAACACTGTGCAAGCCATGCTCTGTCTTTTGTCCAAGGCTGTCAAAGGCTGGAACCCACAACCTCTTCCTGGATCCCTCCACCACATGGGTGTTCCAGAGCCTGGGATTATGTCTGTCAAATACAGGCTTGCGGGGACTTTGGTGTGCCACGAGATGTGGCCCTGTCACATGCTCAACTCACCTTGTCAAACCCTCTGAAGCCTCCATGGAGACTGTTGGGCTCTCTGTTGATGGGCAGGTGGTACTCCTTCCCATCCACCGTGAATCTTCCTTTGGCAATTCGGTTGGCTACCCTCCCAACCACTGCTCCAAAGTAGGGCTGCTTCTGCAGGTAACCTGCACAGACAGACAGGGCATAAAACCATTATTTTTGTTTTGTTTTGGTTTTTGAGATATGGTTTCTTTGTATAACAGCCATAGCTGCCCTGGAACTAGCTCTTGTAGACCAGGTTGGCCTCAAATTTACAGAGATCTGCCTGCCTCTGCCTCCCAAGTGCTGGGATTAAAGGCATGTGCCACCACCACCTGGCTACATACACCTTTTTTTTTTTAACTTCAAGAATACCACACAATTAACAAACAGAAGAAGATTTTATACAAATGAATTCTAAAGTGATTTTTTTTTAAAAAAGAGGGTTTTGATTTTTTTTTTTTTGAGACAGGGTTTCTCTGTGTAGCCCCAAACTCAGAGTCCTGGATGCTGGGATTAACGGTATACGTCACCACCAATTGCTTATCCTAAATTTTGAGATCTGCCCATCCCTAACATAGCTATCTACCATATTTCTCTCGATGGCTATAAAGTATCCTGATGAGAATAAAATATTATTGACTTCGGGGTAAGTACTATAAAAAGCAAAGTTGCTTTGAACATAAGCATATTATAGCGTTTCCCACTTCTTTATGTTCCTCTGTTCTTGGTTTACAACAGAAAATACTATGGATTTTTTGCAGGCAGTTTTTTGTTTTTTTGTCTTAACATGAGGAATACTGGTCTCCTTCCCTAAGGCGCTGTACAACCACCACCACTTCTGACCAACAGAGATAGGATTCAATCTTGTAAATTCCTTTTCCACAGCTGTAGGAGACTTTAGGGGTACAGACCCTGAGCTGATTAGGCCAGTTCCAGGTTCCCACTGCTCACCTGGCCCGGCAGGAGCTAAACATTAACCATTTTGCAAGCTCACTGTCCGGTTTCCTTCCTTGCTAACTCATGATGCTTCTGAGTTCCACCCCAAAGATTCAGTTAACAGTGACCGAGCAATTTCTAAGTCCTAGACACTTGCTGGGTGCTCTGTGTTTCACTCCTGTCATCCTTAGAACTTTGCGGAAGTGGAGATGCTCTTACTAACCCCATTTTACAGAGAAGTTAAAGGATTAGCCCCCAAACAACATCGAGCGATAAAACCCAGACTTGATCTTGAAAGTCTGGTTCCAGAGTTTGTGTTTCTATTTCTCTCTTTTTCAGGCAGGATCATGTGATACAGCCTAATTGGGCCTGTGATTCTTCTTTTTCTACCTCCTAACTGCCGGGATTATTGTATGGGTCACCACAGCCTCCCTACTCTCAAGCGTAACATCGCCAACCCGTTCTCCCTCAGTATCCCAGCAGAGGCCGCTCCACTCAGAACACACCCTCGTGAGACATCAGAATCCACAGATGTTCACATTCTCATCGAGGACAGTGAGGCATTTGCATATAATCTATGCATATTCTCCCGAATACTTTTTTTGGGGGGGTGCTGGGAATTGAACCCAGGTCCTCTGGAAGAGCAGCCAGTGCTCTTAACCGCTGAGCCATCTGTCCAGCTCCTCTCCCACATACTTTAACTCACAAATTACATATAATTCTTAAAACTTGTAAATATTACATGAATAATAGCTAGGCAACAACTAGAAAAGTCTAAACACCTTTAGTACAAATGCAATCCCCTCCCCCAAATATTCTTTCTTTTCTTGCTTTATTAATATTATTGTTTTATTTGTGTGTGTATGAGTGTGTGTGTGTGTGTCCAAGGAAGCCAAAAGAGGACCTTACAACTGCCTGGCGCTAGTCACAGGCAATTGTGAGCCATCCAATGTTGCTCTGGAAATTGAACTTGTGTCCTTTGAAGAAAAACAAATGTTCCCAGCTGCTGAGCCATCTCTCAATCCTCTCTGTCCGTCCTTCCTTCCTTCCTTCCTTCCTTCTTCCCTCCCTCCCTTCCTTGGCAGGACCTTACTCTGTACATGGTACAAGTCCTGCACTAGGCTCCCAAGTGCTGGCATTATAGAGACAGGGCACTGGGACTATCTCTCCCAAATGTTTCTAATACATGATTGGTGGAATTAACAGGTACTGAAGGAAAACTATATTTGGAATACACAGGTCATCCTGGTTGAGTGACCTTACCACCTCTCTGCCTGCTCTATTCTGTCTCCCACCTGCCTCCATTTCAGAAGCTGTGGCTTTAAAACCCATTATAGCAGTTAACCAAAAGAGTCTCAAAGACCCAAACAACCTCTTCTTTGTTTGGCTTCACGTGTATTTTGGCCAGAAAGGGAGTGATTCTCTTTGTACTCACCATAAAGGGTCATGGCTGACCCGTCAACAAGAGACAAACACACCAAATGTAATGGTCATACTCTGTGACACAGGAGCCTTCAGATCTAAACACTCAAAGACCTAAGGTGAGAAATCCATTTTTGTGCTTAGGTCTCAAAAAAGGTGGACATCTATGTAAAAATACAGCTTGATAAAACGGATATAATGCAATAGCAAGGAACTGAAGAGGAAACCCAGCAGGGCCTGTCTGTTAGATTCTGGCTGGCCTCTTTGGGCAGAACTCCCTTCTCTTAGGTTTGGGTAAGACCTTTTCTCTATAGTCAGTTAGGGAGAGTCAGCTAACTTAGAAAGATGGGAGAAATAATTACTTTTTTTTTCTATGTATTGTGGCTGGCTTTGGGGAAGAGGCTTCTGGTTCCTGAAAAAGAAGTCTGGTCTGAGGCAAGATTTGGTGGAGGATGATGAAGGAATAACAGGAGAACAGGAACTGGCCAGACACTGCATCTAAAAGCTTCACTTTGGGCTATCATTTTCTGAATCCCAGTTAGGCTAAAAAACATAAAAGAAAAACAATTTTTGACCTATCTCAAAAGAAAAAGGAGGAGGAGAGGAAGAAGAAAGAAGGAAGCCGGGTGGTGGAGGCACATGCCTTTAATCCCAGGCAGAGGCAGGTGGATCTCTGAGTTCAAGGCCAGCCTGGTCTACAAGAGCTAGTTCCAGGACAGGCACCAAAACTACAGAGAAATTCTGTCTTAACAAAAGGAAAAAAAAAAGAGGAGGAAGAGGAGGAGGAGAAGGGGGCTGGAGAGATGGCTCAGAGGTTAAGAGCACTGACTGCTCTTCCAGAGGTCCTAAATTCATTTCCCAGCAATCACATGGTGGCTCAAAGCTATCTATAATGAGATCTGGTGGGCCTGGAGGGATGGCTCAGCCATTAAAGGCTAGGCTCACAACCAAAAATATAAGAGTTCGGTTCCCAGCACCCACGGCTGTCCCTCCAGGTACAAAAAAAAAAAAAAAGAGAGAGATCTGGTACCCTCTTTGGGCTTGCAGGCATACATGGAGGCAGAATATTGTATACATAATAAATAAATCTTTCAAAAAGAAAAGAAAAGAAAAGAAAAGAAAGAGATGCTCAGAAGATGCACATCAAGAGCACTGGTGTGGCTGACAAGATGGCTCAGTGGACCAAGAGGCTTGCTACCAGGCCTAACCACCTGAGTTTAATCTCCAGATCCCACATGGTGCAAGGGGAGAACTGGCTCCCGAAGTTGTTCTCTGACCTCCACCATGCTCCCCCACCATAAATAAATAAATATATTTGAAGAAGAGGAGGAGGAGGAAGAAGAGGAAGAGGAGGAGGAGAGGAAGTGGTAAAGAAGAAACAGCAGCAGCAGAAGAAGAAATAAGAACAATAAATCCAAAACTTTGTTTGGTCTGAAACTGTTTGGCTGTATCTGTTTTTCAGAGAAACCTAATATACGCACATGGAGCCCCACTCCATACTGTGCCAGGTGTTAGCGCCGTGTGTGAGACAGCAAGGATCCTGCTCGTGAGTTTGTAAAAATCCCTTCCCTGGGGACCTCTTCTGACAACAGTGGCTGGGGCCCTGGAAAGAGACACACTTACCAATTCCTCAGTTTGGATGAATCTGTAGTTTCTAAGGACTAAAGCATAAGGACCAAGAAAATATTCTTCCTGGCTGTCTCTGGGAAGAAACCTTTTATAGAACAAACACATCAAGTGCCAAGAAGCCTTCCCATCAAATCAGGACTGTGAAAAATGACAAGCTCAGATCCTGAAGAGGACATGACTGAAAGGGGTTTGAATTGCAGAAAATATTGTTTATCATCAAAAGGTCAAAGTTCTGCAGTCTAGCTATGAATGCTTAGGGAGCCCAACTGCCAAGTTGCAAGTTTGTCCTGGTTCTGGAGTCAGAATAAATTACTAAATACTTAATGGTGTGGTGTGGGACACCCTTCTGTATGCTGTGAATCTGTTTGATTACTATTGGTTAACAAAGAAACTGCTTTGGCCTATGACAGGGCAGAATACAGCCAGGTGGAAAAACCAAACTGAATACAGGGAGAAAGAAGGTGGAGTCGAGGGAGGTGCAAGCAGCCACTGGAGAAGCAAGATGTAAGGTAACAAGCCACAAGCCTCATGGTAAAATATAAACTAATAGAAATGGGTTAATTTAAGTTGTAAGAACTAATTCATAATAAGCATGAGCTAATAGGCCAAACAGTATGTAATAATTATTAAGTTTCTGAGTGGTTGTTTTAAAAAACGGCTATGGGACCCGGCGGAACAAGAAACTTCCAGTTATAACGGTGGGACACAGCCTTTCTACCCCCATGCTACCCAATCAGACAGCCTACGACTTTGCCGGTCAGAAGGAAAATTACTCCCTGCTTCCTCCCAAAAGCTCCCCGTACTGAACTCCTGTCTTTTTTTTTATTATTTATTTTTATTAAAAATTTCCGCCTCCTCCCCGCCTCCCATTTCCCTTCCCCTTCCCCCTGAACTCCTGTCTTTAGACTGTAAGAAAACAACTGGAATTGATAGTCACTTTAATAATGCCACATACTGCCAGGTGGTGTTGGCGCACGTCTTTAATCTCAGCACTCAGGAGGCAGAGGGCGGATCTGTGAGTTTGAGGCCAGCCTGGTGGTTTACATGGGAGTTCTAGGACATCTAGCACTGTTACAGAGAAACCCTGTCTCGAAATAGAGATTTAAAAAAAAAAAAAAAGATGACAGATATCTCGTCGACACATTATCAGGATAACAAAAATTAACTAAATAAAAAGTCTAGCATAGTGAAAGAAGCTACTTAGGGATTAGGGACAAAAGAAGGACAAGAGATGACAATACTAACAGTTCTCTAGTTAGAGACTTTGCTCACATGGTCGGACATGGGCAGATACATACACTACAGGTCTGGAGACGTTAAACAACCTGCCAGAGATCACAGAGCTTTAACAAAGCATTGATTTAAATAAGGAGTTCTCAATGTTCCAACAAGGACAGCCTTGGGCATTTGCAGTATCTGTCTTTAACCAGGACTCATTTGCCTCCACTCCCTATTCAAAACCTAGGTTTTTTCTGTTTCTGTCCTGAAACAGGGTCTCAGGTATCCCAAACTAACTTTGATGACGATGACCTAGCAAACACCACCATGCCTTGTTTTTATGCAGCGGCAGAGATGGAATTCAAGTTGGTTTTTTTTTTTTTTTTGGTTTCGTTATGTTTGAGTCGGGGTTTCTCTGTGTAACCTCGGCTGTCCCGGAACCAGCTCTCTGTAGACCAGGTTTGCCTCAAAACCAGTTATTTGCTTGCTTCTGTCTCCTAAGTGCTGGGATTAAAGTCGTGTGCCACCATGGAATTCAAGTCTTTAAAGCTACATGCATGTTGGGCAAGCATTTTAGCAACTGGGCTACATTCCCAGCCCTTGGCCCCCGGCACTGTTTGTTCATCACCGGTCACATGCTCTACCATTGAACTACATCCCCAGACTTCAAAGCATCAAGGGTATTTTTTCATTCTTTCATAGTAACAGCTGGTTATTTGGTAGTAACTGGGGTTGGGGGCAACGAAAGGAAAGGCGTCTCATTGATTGCACGTATGGGTAGGATGTTTATACCTGTGGCTTATAAGCAAATATTCTTTTTTTTAATTTTTTAATTTATTTATTTATTAAAGATTTCTGTCTCTTCCCCGCCACCAGCTCCCATTTCCCTCCCCCTCCCCCAATTAGGTCCCCCCCCCCTCAGCCCGAAAAGCAATCAGGGTTCCCTGCCCTGTGGGAAGTCCAAGGAACCCCCACCTCCATCCAGGTCTAGTAAGCTGAGCATCCAAACTGCCTAGGCTCCCACAAAGTCAGTGTGTGCAGTAGGATCAGAAACCCATTGCCATTGTTCTTGAGTTCTCAGTAGTCCTCATTGTCCACTATGTTCAGAGAGTCCGGTTTTATCCCAGGCTTTTCCAGACCCAGGCCAGCTGGTCTTGGTGAGTTCCCAGTAGAACATCCCCATTGTCTAAGTGTGTGGGTGCACCCCTCACGGTCCTGAGTTCCTTGCTTGTGCTCTCTCTCCTTCTATAAGCAAATATTCTTATCACAGGCTTTGAGAGAAGTCATAATGACTATTGGGGGGGGGGTCACACAAGATGATAAGAAAGCAGAGCAAAAACCCACAGGAGACATTCCTGATTTTATTTTTCAGGCTACAACTAAAAGATCATATATAATTTCCCTCTTTAGAATTCTACAGAAGAAATATCTCATTTTCCCAGAGAGAAATTGAGCCATTCTGACCTCTGGTCATAGCTGCCAGCCTAGCAGTTTATGTAACAATCTATCTGGGAGACAGGCAGTTACAAAAGGGACATGGTTCACAGAATTATCAATGTTTGGCCTTCCTCATAGCTCAAAACAGTTCTGAGACAAGGCAAATTCTTTCACTTCAGATTACTTGCTCAGCTTGTTTATGTAAATTTATACACTCAAATTTAGAAAATTAAACTACAATTATTCATTTACTTATTTGTGTGTGTGTGTGTTTTCAGGGACTGCACGTGCACCTATGAAGGTCGGAGGACAAGTCAGTTCTCTCCTTCTACCATGTGGGTCCTGGGAATCAATTTCAGATTGTCACAGTTGGCAGCAAGCACCTTTACCCAGTGAGCCATTGGTTCTATTATCAGGGTCTTACTAGGTAGCACTGGCTCTCCTAGAATTTGCTATGTAGATCAGATGCCACCAAACCCACTCTAAATGTTCTGTTTTGTTTTGTTTGACACATGGTTTCTCTGTGTAACAGCCATAGTTGTCCCGGGACTCGCTTTGTAGACCAGGCTGGCCTCAAACTCCCAGAGACCCCCCTGACTCTGCCTCTTGAGGCATTTTATACTTTTACAATTGAGATAATATACTTCCTATTGTGGCATGAGCTAATGCCCATCTTCAACAACACAAAAAGATTCTATGAAAACCTGAAAAACAGAACTTTATAAGGGGAACTAGGTTTCCTTTGCCATAATCTTGAAGGCGGCTAACATCTCAGAAAGCCTTACTTAATAATCTACAAGTGTTTTCCTTTCAATTTCTCTTTTGAAAATAGCTTCCCTTTCATTTTAAAATAATTCAGTATTTTATAGCACAGGAATGAAAATGTCCATCTTGACAGATACAGCACCAAGAATATTTTAAAAGTTCTGGTTTGGTGAAGCTGTGATGTATATTGATAAGAAAGTGCTACAGACCGCGGTTCTCAGCCTTCCTGACCCTTTAATACAGTTCCTCATGTTGTGGTGACCCCCAGCCATAAAATTATGTCGTTGCTACTTCATAACTGTAATTTTGCTACTGTTATAAATCCTAATGCAAATATCTGATATTCGACCCAAAGGGGTGGTGAGGCACATGCTGAGAACCACCGCTTTAGAGCTTTCTCAAGCAAGCGACCTGCTGGGTAACTCTAATGCCCTTTGTCTAGAGCTTTTCTGAATAGGTGACGATAATTCCTTCACTGAGCCTCCAATAGGCACCCCAAACTATGATGAATAGCCTCACGACTGGTACTTCCAGGCCTGTAAAGAGACTGGTGCCCCTGGGTGGGATGTCATCTCGACTCCCATTTCTCATGGATTCCCAAGAAATCTTGTGATCTTATTTCAGGCCCGAGGACTCTCACCTCAGAACTACGGCGCGAGGATGGTTGTGTGTCTCTATGGGGTGGATGGGGTGGTGGGTGTCCATCCGTCCGTCCGCCCGTCCCCCCCCCCCCCCCCCCCCCCCCCCCCCCCGCGCGCGCGCACGGTGATGTGGCAGACAGACATAAGAGCAGGTATCACCCACCACCTCTAATGCTCAGACTGGCTCTGGAATTCTCCGTATCAGATTCGCCCTTCACTCTACTGTAATCTCTGTGATTTTATTTCAGCTCAGAAAAAGGCTGTGCTACCACAGAGAGGAGTGACTCAGCAAACCGGCTCTAAAAGCCTCCTCCCTTCAATCGCTGGACCTCTCGCCTTCCTACTTTGGGGATGTCTGGACACAGAATGAGGAATCGGGGTGGGGGGGGGGGGCGCCTTCTCCAAGTCTCCGCACTTTCCCACCAGTCTGTCCCTTGCAACAGCCTCAACTAAATTATCAAGGAAATTCTGGTTGGGGAAACATCCAAACAAAAACCTGTTACGGAGGTTCCAGGGCAATAAAGACATAAAGACAGCCAGAGGTGATCCAACAGGAGCCTCAGCAATACTCTGACAAGGCATTTTAGCAGAAAGATGGGGAACACATCTATTTTTGCTTAAGGGGCAAATAAAAAATAAATAAATAAAACAGGGTTTTCCTGTTGACCCCAAAACCAAGAGCCAAATTAAACATCTGAAGAACCAAGTGGGTACAAAGACGTGCCGAAAGGAAAACCTCAGACCTCCTCTTGCGGTACAAACTCCGTCTACACCCACCACCTAGCAGAGTAGATTCTCTTTGCATTTGCCAATTTTACTTTGTTTTCTGTCTGGTTATGTGCAATGCTAAGGCAGGACAAGATGTACACTTGCCCGCTGCAACCAACCTGCCATCCACTGACTTCACTTTGGGCTAAAATCTGCTCCCAGCTAAATTGCAAGTTGAGGGTGATCCCGGTCTATCTTGTTGGGTGCGTCCACTGCATTAACAGTTTTAACTGCATGAGTTAAATTAAAACTCGTGCATGGATTAAGATAAAACTGCTGGCTCTTGCCTGTGATCCCAACACTTGAGAAGTGGAGGCAGGATGATCGGGAGCTCCAGGCTAGCCTTAGCTACATAGTGACTTAGGGGCCAGCTAGGGCAGCATGAGACCCCGTCCAAAACATAAAAAGGCATGATTCGAATTGCCCAACAGATCCGAAAGATAATGTCCATGTCTTAGGAGGCCTTAGACTAGTGGCTTTACCCCTTCCATTAAGAATATGTTCCTGAGCAAATGGAGGCACTGTGCCCCACACTGACACAGTAGCCAAGCGCTCGGGTGAGTGTACACCAGACCTGTATTCTGAGGCATTTCTGCCCAAGCAGGTCTCAAAGAAAATCCGATGGGGGTGTGGGTAGTAGTAACAGACGCTTGGATTTTGCTTCCTCAAAAAAACCACAAGGAAGTTAAAGGCTGCACACCACCCTGTGGCCCACCCACAGTTCGAAGATCACTCTAAGGAGTTTGGTCTCCTTCAGCTGACTTCCTCGTGAACCGTGACTAGTCCGACTGTCTAGGGGAGGCCAAGTCCTACAGTTATATGCATTCGATCCGGGTTTTTTTTTTTTTTTTTCAACCACACAATCCCATTAGCCGCTACCATTAGTCTATTCACGCGCTTCCAAGTTAGACTGCCCCAAGCTTGGGAACCTCAAGTCCCGGACCCGGGATACACAGTTAGGAGTGTGTGCGGGCCTGGGGCCGTTTGGCAGCCCTGGGCAAGACGCGACCCACCTTCCAACTCGGCAAAGCCGAGCACCACGTCTGAGGCTTTCCCCTGCCTGTCTTTGACATGCAGAGCTGTGATGGTGCAGCCCCAGGAGATGATGTCCACACTCAGCTGGTCTGACCGAAGCTGGAACTTCTCCACTGTCCCTCCCCCCGAGGGCAGCTCTCCAAACACGGCTCTGGTCACCGAAACCATGGGGAAAGTTCGGGGCGCGCAGCTACTCCCTGCTGTTCAAACTCTAGCCTTGCTCGCGTTTGGGATGATAAAACTTCCCAGGAGAAGGGGAGGGATCCAGTTTAACTCCTCCCCTTTATTGCCTGGATTTTAGCCGAGCACCCCTCGGGAGTGGGAGGGGAAATGCCTGAAGCCTTTTAAAAACTTTCCTTTGCCTGAGGTACCTGAGAGGTAAACTTTCCAGTCACGCTTGCAGGTTTTTTCCTTCGCTAATCCTAGCTGCAGTGCATGTCGGGAAAGGTAGTCTTTAAGAAATTTGCAATTGCATTTTGGGGCATGTAGTTTACACCAAAGCAACTATTTATTTTGCGCAGGCGCGCGGTCAAAAGACAATCTCAGGTTTCTTCTTTGCCTAGAAGGCTCCGACGAATCACCTCAGGTGGGCAGGCTCGGAGGCCGCTCCTTTACTCACTAAGCCTTGCTGCCCATCCGCACGTAGTCTTTCTAAACCCCAATATCCCTGTTCCTCTGCATACCTTCATAAGATGCTCTGAGCATAGCTGGTTGACCTTTAATACTGGTTATTAATATTGGGACAATAAGACAGATCCCGAGGGAATTCTGGTAACTCTTCGGGGTGCACGAAGTAGTGTGGTGCAGTGGTGATTTAGAGATGGAGAAAGTTGTTGCAGACTCCTCTGCTGGCTGATAATCTGTCTTGGTTCTCCTTTTCTTTTTTGTTTCCTTTTTTTTTTTTTTTTTTTTGCTTTGTTTTTCTCTGTCTCAAGGGATTAAGCGCTCGTGAGATTGGGTCACCTTACTTTCAGTCTCCAGTTTAGGTAGGGCTCTCCTTATACATGTAATCCGATAGTCTCAGATTGTGTAGATGTCTGCCTCCTTTTGCTCCCAATGTTCAAACCTCCTTCAAGAAGGGATTAATGGTGCTTGTTTCAGAAGAACATGTATTTTTAAAAAAGGAATTAAGGGAGCATGTATTTATTGAAGTTCAGCTACCAGGTAAATCAGGTAAATGCAGGGTACTGTTTTTTTTTTTTTTCTTTGCAAGTAAGAAGACATACTTCGGTGTGTATAGTTTGAAGACTCTGAGGTCCTTAAATTATTATCTTGCTTTAGTGTGCCTCATAATTACTTGCCTGCAATTTCTGACTCTGGGAACCTAAGATAATAATCACAAATTATCTTTTTTTAAAATATTTATTTATTTATTATGTATACAATATTCTGTCTGTGTGTATGCCTGCAGGCCAGAAGTGGGCACCAGATATCATTACAGATGATCGTGAGCCACCATGTGGTTGCTGGGAATTGAACTCAGGACCTTTGGAAGAGCAGGCAGTGCTCTTAACCTCTGAGCCATCTCTCCAGCCCTTTTTTTAAAAAAAAATATTTAAATTATCTTAAATAAAAGATTTATTTATGTGCTGAGTGTTTTGCCTGCATGTATGTATGTGCAGCTCATTTGTGCTGGGTGCCCAGAGAGGTCAGAAGTGGGCACTGAATGCACGCAATTGGAGTTCTAAATGGTTTTGAGCCGCCTTGTGGATGCTGGGAACTGGACCCGGATGCTCTGCAAGAGTGAGGAATGCTCTTCTTTGCTGGGCCATCTCCTTAGTCCCCTAAAAATTTTAATTTTAATTTTTTTATTATGTGTAGACGTGTGTCTGAGTGTGCGTTTATGCCCATGCATGAAGTGCCCATGGAGGCCAGAAGAGGGCATCTCATCCCTTGGCACTGCGGTTGTAGTGCTTGACAGGAGGGCTAGAGATCAAACTACGCACTCTGCAAGAGTGTTAGTAGTTGGCTCTTAGATACTGAGCCATCTTTCCAGCCCTGGAAACTTCACTTTTCCTCGCCTCTCAGGCCGTTCTGATGTCGATTATCTGGGACTAGATTTAAAGACATACTGTTTGAACTTTCGGTGACTAACTCACTTTCCCCAAATTAGGCTTTGATAGCCTCGCATGCCATTAGGAGCCTCAACAGAACCACGAGATAAAATACAGACACCTCTGTCTTTCAGTGATGAATCTGCTTCTCTAGAAGACGGCTGGTTCCCGAAGGAGGAGAGGTCTGTGAGCCTAAAGAAGCACAGAAGCCACTCCATCTGACTTACATTAGCCATAATTCTTGTCTGTGTTAGCCATATGACGTGGTGCCTTTATCAGTGAGGCGTCTGGATGCCCACTGCAGACTGAGCCTTTCCTTTTCCCACAATTCTCCTGTTCTCCTCGTCCCACCTCTACTCCCTGCCTAGCTACTGGCCAATCAGTGTTTTATTAAACCAATACAAGTCCATTGTACCACAGTACATCTGTATTCCTGGTCTTTACTTAGCCTTGGTGAGTGCAGACGCGCATCTGTGATTAGGAAATTAGGTGAACCGAGCTCATGTTCCTGTAATCAAATGCTAATAAACATTATAACTGTCTCACTTGTTTCTGTCTGTGGAATTTCAAAGAGTAGTTAGCATTCTTGCTACAAAGCCTGCATTCTCTATCAAGAAATTAGGGGAATTCTGTCACCTGCAGCAGGCTTCGGTGAAGTACCACATATAATAACAAAAAGATCCAAACAAGTAAAATTATAGACTGTGACACAGTCACACAATAACCCACAGGCACTCTGTAGGCTGCTTCATCAGAAACCCTTACAGAATCTGCAAGTCTCATCAGCCCACTTAACATGTGTGTCTGACTCATACAGAAGCCCTTTCAGCAATGCTGTGTTAGCAAAGATGCCTGAGAGCCTCTTCTGTGAGCAGGAAGACGACAGTTTTCATTTCTCAACCTCCAGTTCTCAATGTTCTGCCAAGCTCATGCTTCCACAGAACAAAAGGAAATGCAGCCTGGGTGGCTAGCACCAAACGTCGATGTTCTTCTGGTGGAAGCTTCACCCCAGCCCCTGGCATCCACATACCCAAAGAGTCTGGAATATTCGGGGGAAAGCTCCATTCCAAGCCCTCTGCTCCATCTCTCTCCAAAGCCTGCTGCATCTCAGAAAGCCTGCCAACTGATGACCCCTCCCCCAGAGATCCTCAAGACCACTCCCACAGGGTACTAAACTGCCCCCCAGAAAACAGACGCGTGGCTTTCTAGTCTTTCTTTCCCGTCTCCTCTCTGGGAGCCTGGAAAATCATCCGGGATTTATTAATTAAATTAAATTTAAACCTGGACTCTTTCTAATTCGGTTTGATTTGGTCTGGTTGGATTGCTGCGTCGGCGGAGAGGCTTATGGGGTGCAGAAACTTTTCAGTCACCAGGGAAGTTCTTATTGCTTGGCTTGGTATGAAACATTGCATTTCCCTAAGACGCAAAAAGTACATGTCTTCATTTCCTTTTCCTGTGGCTTTGAAGTGCTTAGTGTATTAAACCGGACTACCTTATGTGAGCTGCAAATCTTGCTTTCTTTATTCAAATACCCAGTTTTCTTAATCTTGCAGTTCTACCCTACATTCAAAGTCTAAGTCTACAGCAATGTGCACTGTCCATAGGGAGGTCAGCACCAAAGCAGTAATGAAGAATAAAACATTATTAAATTCTACGAGGCATTTGCTTTTACTTTTCAGAGAAAGCCTGGGGGTTAAGTTACATGGTAGAGGAGTAGAGATTGTGACAAAGTTTTTGTAAGAAGAATTACTTATCTTCTCCTTCAACCAGAGGCAGAGGTGCCAGACGAGACAGCTGAAGAAGGCTTCTTTCTCAGTGGGTGAATAGTCCTCACACGGACCCGAGGCCTGAGGAGATGTGAGGCCATAGACCCTGTGCTCCACACGCCACACAGAAACCACAGACTGTGAGCTGCTCCCGGGGACTCAGCTCCAGGATTCATAAAGATGACCCCGAAACCTTAAGCTATTAACAGGCTGCTGCAATAGGAAACTCTCAGCCTATTTGGCAAGGCCTGGAGGAGGCTCTTTTCTATCAGGTTCACCTGGGTCTGCATCCTGTCCTTTCTCATCGTCTGACTTCCTGTGCTGTTTATCGGCAGTACTCTTCCCGGCACTCGGGCGTCACTATCTGAGATTATTCCTTTTTTCCAAGAAAAAAAAATGGTTTTTGTAGTTGTTCCACTCAATTACTGATTCCTAGACTCAATTTTTTAACTTGTTTTGAGTATTATATTTATGTTATTCCCACCCCTCCAGGAAGACTGGAAGGAGGAATTTCCAAGTGTCAGCACAACTACGAAAAGAAATGTTCTTTGACCGGAGCTACCTGAGGTACTGTCTTAAGTTTTATCTAAAGTCCCTAGGGTGTGTCCCACCAGTCAGTAGAGTTTAGCAGAATAGCCTGCTGACTGCAGAGACCCGGTTCTCATCAGACATTACACCAATGGATAGCTTGATCTTGGACTCTCTAGTCTCTAAAACTGTGAAAACTAAGTGTTATCATTTTTTAAAAACAGTTTTTTTGAGACCCAGACATGGTATCTTATACCAGCACTCAGGAGGCAGAGTCAGGTGGATCTCCAAGGCTAGCCAGACGAAGCCAGCCCAGTCTACAAGGTGAGTACACAAAAACCCTGTCTTAAAAGCAAAATGAAAAAAAAATTGAAACAAGGTGTCTTTATGTCCCCCAGCTATCATGGAACTCACTCTGTAGACCAGGCTTGCCTCGAATTCAGAGATCCACCTGCCTCTGCCTGCTGTGCGCTGGGATTAAGGGCATGCATCATCACTCCTGGGTGTAGTTTTTGTTGAAGCTTTGTTGTAGCATCACTAACGACAAAAACAGGTGGCACTGGGATGAAACTGGAAATCTCTTTAGGACAGAGAGGGAAGGAGAAGACAGAGAAAGCTAGAAGTAAGCAGCAAGCACTAAGACAGCCATATATCTGGGCATCAGGCTCAGGATTAGAACAGGAAGTTTTCCGCAGGACCTTTGTCTGGGTTCCTGAGTTGGACTGGAGGGGAAGCTGGGCCAGCTGCTTGTGGCAACTCTAGGGTCCTAGGAAAAGCTTGATTGTCAATAGACAGCCAAGCATAGCTAGTATAAGAGGTCTAGCTGAGTAAGTAGGAGGAGTCTGATAGACCTAACAGCCATAAACTCAAAGGTCAACCAGCAGCTCGAAGTTCAGTGATAAGCAGGATATTCTGTCTCTTAGGTGACTGATACCATCGGGTAGGGCTGAACCTAATTCCAGTGCTCCTGACCTGCTGAATGCCCACAGAGTGTGGTGTAGAGTACAACCAGAAGCCTGACACAGAGGCCTGCAGGGAATCAGGCCCTCCCTGGTGC